ATAACAAACATGTTATACTTACCTGGTGTGTGTAATGGTTTTGCACAGAGCAACCCTGATCCTCTTCTCTTTGGGTCCCCCAATGGAGGTCTTGGCTCCTCTCCCAACCCACCGAGTGCCCCCAATAGCAAGCCTCTTGCTGTGGGGGCACTCGAGTAGGCTCGCACCTAAGCCGCGTTCTTGTGAATGGACATTGTCAACCTGTTTCGGAGTCCATAAGCATTCATCAGGGCTACAAAACATACAAATGTTAACATTATTATACAGTATTATACATAATAAAATTTATATATATATATATATATATATATATATATATATGCCTTGAAAAAGTATTCACACCCCTTGAAATGTTCCACATTCTGTCATGTTACAACCAAAAACATAAATGTATTTTATTGGGATTTTATGTGATAGATCAACACAAAGTGGCACATAATTGTGACGTGGAAGGAAAATGATACATGGTTTTCAAATTTTTTTACAAATAAATATCTGAAAAGTGTGGCATGCATTTATATTCAGCCCCCCGAGTCAGTACTTTGTAGAACCACCTACAAAGTTGCAAGTCGTTTTGGGGATGTCTCTACCAGCTTTGCACATCTAGGGAGGGACATTTTTGCCCATTCTTCTTTGCAAAATAGCTCAAAGTCTGTCAGATTGGATGGATAGCATCTGTAAAGAGCAATTTTCAAGCCACAGATTCTCAATTGGATTTAGGTCTGGACTTTGCCTGGGCCATTCTAACACATGAATATGCTTTGATCTAAACCAGTGGTCTCCAAACTGAGATGTTGCCCTTTGCTAGCCTTTATCTGGCCCTTGGAGCACTATTCCTCCCACTGACACCAACAATTGGGCATAATTCCTGCCCTGAAACCAATAATGGGACTTTATTCCTCCCATTAATACCAATGATGCGGTACTGCTCCTCCTGCTACTGACCACCAATCCCGTGGCCATGTTTATTTTCAAGGATGCTGGGCCCAGGACCTTTTCTACCACCACTGGCAACAATCTGGCCCCCCAAAAGTCTAAAGGACAGTAAACTGGCCTGTGTTTAAAATGTTTGGAGGCCCCTGGTCTATCACATAAAATCCCAATATAATACATTTACGTTTTTGGTTGTAACATGACAAAATGTGGAAAATTTCAAAATACACTTTTAAGGCACTGTATATATATATATATATACTGTATATATATAAATTTTTTAGATTTATTTTAAATAAGCATTGTCAATTAAGAGTAATAAAACTAATTTTTAAAAAATAATATGATAAAAGTTGATATAGGATAAAATACTCTCTTGAACTCCTTCATGATTCCTAGTCATACTAAGCCTCTGAATTAAGTACTTTGAGTCACTAATCCAAAACAAATATGGAGATAAAGACCAATGACTTTTCTTCCTCTTTCCTGACCTGTACACTTGTTTGGTTTCTGTGACTCAGATAATATTGCAGACAGAGGGATCAGCATAATATCCAGTCAGCATTTTCAGAAGGATCTCAACAATGGCAGTGCTCATTTTTGTTCTCAGTATATAGGAAGAGACTAGAGAAATGAATGGCAGTAAAATAATATGCTCATATAATGGTAACTTCAGCAAGTCCAAATATCTGAAACAAGCAGAGTTTGGGCACACTAGTCTGCAAGTCAGCCTTGCAGCGGGAATGATTGCTGGGAAGTAGATAAACATAGGCAGGCATAGAGATAGGAGAGAGCTCCTCATGGGCGTGGCCAGTGTGACAATGTTCTCCAATAAGCCAGAGAACAGACAGTAGGCGAGGCAGTAGCATGGAGTTTCTAGAACTGCACTGTCTCGCCCTTTTATGCTATGCAGTTTTAGGGGCGCAAAAATGCGTGCATCACTTGCAAATCTTGTGGCAGGTAAAACAATTTCTAAATACGTGTTTCATCTGCTGTTTAACTGCTTGGTTGAAATGGCTGAAATTGAAGTGACTGCTTTAATTAATACACATTTACATTGATTTTGTGACTGTGAAAATTGTGCTCCTTTGGAACTTCCGCAGAGAGAGATTTCGGCTATTTCTGGTCACTGTTTTAAACCATTGCTATTCTGTTTGCAGAAAATGTTTCAGGCAAGCCTGGTCTCCAGTGCCTGGCCCCATGTCACGCCACTCTAGGGCAGGCTGCGGCCTCTCCTTTCACACTCTGGAAGTTTACATGTGACCTTGTCCTCTGGAGCAGACCGTTCGCCGCCACCTTGACGGCCATACTCTTCATCTCTGCTATATTAGTGAGATGGACCGCAGTGTTCTGCACTCAGATCCCTCATCAATCTTACTAACAGCCTGCATTAGCAGCAGCTCTGCCTTCTGCCATTAACCAATTCATTCTCCTTCATTAAGAATGCCACATTTTAATTCTCCTTCCACACTGCCTTCCTTTGCACTTTCTTTTCCTCTCCAAATGTAGTAAAGAACTGATAAATGCTTAAATGTATCCACCTCACCTCTGGCTTGCTGATATGAGTCTTCTTGCATCCTGATCCCTGTGGTTGGATACCCCAGATATAGGTGTATGCTTGCACCATCCACTGGCTGATATTGGGAATTGCAGTGTAGCTATGCAGTGGCAGATATGCAGCAGTACCAATTGGCAGTTACAAACTTAGGTAAATGCATTAGGCGTTGTAGCACTTCAGTATCCTATTGTGGAAATCTATTGGTTTGAACCCTCACCACTTCTTCCATGATCCTTCCATCAGTGTTCGGTATTCACAATAACTGTCATTTGCAATTTTAATGCTCAGGAATGGGGGAGCATTTGAAATCCTCCCATGATTTGGTGTTCAGGCCAGGGAAACCAATTGCATGGCTTGTCCTTCTGGCTCCAATGGAGGAACAGAGCAGTGGGGAAGTATTCTGCCTCATTTCATGTACCGTGATTGGTTTAGGCCTAGCTACATCCTCACCACTTTTTCCATGTTCCTTCCGTCAATGTTAGTTATTTACAAAGACAGGGCTTTGGAAAGTCATTGGGGTTGATTTACTAAAGGTAAATAGACTATGAACCTTGCAAAGTGCAGTTTCTCCAGAGCTTAGTTAATGAGGTAAAGCTTTGCTTTGCAAAGACTACCCAATCACGTGCAAGGAAAATTAAAAAAAAAAAAAAAAACACAGCATTTTTGCTTGCACATGATTGGATGATGGAAATCAGTAGAGCTTCTGCACATTTACTAAGCTTTTGAGTAACTGCACTTTCAGAGTGAAACTGCACTTTGCAAAGTTCACAGTCTATTTGCCTTTAGTAAAGCAACCATTTGTCTTCTTACATTTCAAAGGAATGGAAAGACATCCCCTTCACTGCAGTTAGCTGAAGTAAAATTGTGTTGGATTCAACTTCTGTGTCTTGTTGAAGAGTTAAGCTGTCTATGGATGGTGCCAAGTCAGCAGGTGACTATGTTGTTCAGACAGACTGGGTTTAAGGCGGTATGTCAATGCATAAAGCGGCATTTGAAACAGAACAGGAAGTGTAACAAAAATGAGTATAATTTAAGACGGAGAGGGTATGCTGTCACCTTGCCCCTCCTTGTTTGTGTTTGAGCCTGGATTCACACTGATGCCGTGCGTAATTTGCACCGGTTTCTGTGAGATTTCTGCACCACATTATAATCGCACCCATTTCATGCAAACCACTGTAGGTGTATATTTTAAGTTAGCGACACCCCGAAATCAGTTCGCAAAACACGGCGCGATGTGTAGAATCGGATCACATGGGTGTGAACACCGGAGTGATCCGATTCTGGTGCGGACTAAAAAAGGGTCCTGCACTTCTTTGGTGCAGATGCGGTGATTTGAGCCATACAAAATGTATGGCTCAAATTGCATCACACAGAAACTGCATGTGATTTGCACAGGAAAGCGGTGCGGTTCCTGTACAAATCACATGCGATGTGCTGCACCGCATCAGTGTAAATCCGAGCTGAATGTTGTGGGTCTCAGTAGGGAGTCAACAGTGAATCATTGGAAAGATTGGCAGTTTGCCATTAACAGCACATAAAAGGTATCAGGCTTTGCAAATGTAATATTAGCATTGTAAAGACAGCAAATGTTTGTTAACTATTGGATTTTCCATTTGTACATGTAAAAGTTATTCATAATATGTTTCCTGAGTGTTGCGCTCCATCCCACGCAGATGAAAATGAGCATAAATAACCAAGCAAGGTGTGAAGAAGCGAGGTGTGAATGGCGTCACCGTGGTGGTAAAGCAGGGAAAGGCAAAGTCCTCACCTTGCTCCAGCACAGTTTCTTGTGTTCCTGAGAAGCATTGCACAGTGCGCACAGCAATAACTTCACTGCCTACTACCAAACTGCAAACTTGCAGGAAAAAAAAACCATGATAAATGACGTTTTCTTCTCTAACAATAATAGATAGCTTTTTGACTGCGGCATTCACAATAAAATTAGGCAAAGTTATGGGAACCAGATTTTTTTTCATTCGTTTTCCGTTTCCTCCGCTGGTTCCTGCTCTTGTGGTCGGACCGCTGGGAAATTTTCTCCTGAGCGCTAATGATGCGGCCGTGCTGCTGAGACAGCTTAAATATTACAGCGTTGGTGATAAATCACTGGCAAGGTGCAGAAGAGACGTTTTTTATATCTTAAACTATTTATAGGGTTTCTCTACCAGGACGTCCAATTCTGTTAGTGCTGTGTTAGTGTATATATTACACTGGGGCAGACAATTTTTTTTTCCTTTGTCTTCTGTGTTGGGATTTTGCTTAAAGTGGACTGGTCATTGTATATGTCACCCAGTGGCATCCAAGACCTGGGGCTCTGGGGACACATGACTGGAATTCTGAGCTGCCATGAAAGCTGTTTTAACTTTAAACCAACAACAGTAAAATCAGTCTGTATATGCAGTAAAGCATGCTTGTTATACTCATTTTGGACCCTAAGGGGTTAATTCTCCACATTGTTTAAAAACACTGTTTGATCCTGTCTTCTCTGATCCTCCCCTTCTTCCAGTGCTCCCCTCTTATTTCCTGATAAGACATACTATGTGGAGACACTTAGTTTGGTGTGTATTGCTAGAGACGTTTTTTTTTTTCTGTGGAGAGTGCATGTGAACAGTACGGGGCCAATCTGCACTGTCCAGACAGAGCTCAGGTGTTATGAAGTCACCTAGAGCAGAAAGAATATATTTTAACCAGTGCCCTGCTGAACACTGATAGAAGTCACAAGACTGTTCTAACTGCTGATGAGAAAAGGTATTTATCAGTTTATGTTTACTAAAATAATTGCATTACCATGTTGTGTGTACTGTGGGTGACCAGATATATTGTTATGGTTTAAGCAGATCAAGGTCATGAACAAAAGGGTACCGTTCTCCCAAGTTGGTTCCTGATGTTAAAAAGGGAGAATTCTTCAACTTATCTCTCTCAGGCCTGACAGCCTATTTTCTAGTCCACCAGCAGGGTGTCTCCTTAAAGCAGAGAACCAATCGCCTCATTTGGGGAGGGTGTTTAGGCGGTGAACTGTGCTATGACCAAATCCCTCACACGTTTATACCATGGTCAATAATCTTCCATAGGTACATGGAGCATCCTATCTAGTGGTAGGATAATATGCAGAATCATCTGCTGAACGTCTAGATATCAGATATGACATATCTACCTGTGACGGTTAAAGAGATATCGCTTTCTGCTCTCGGGTAGATGTAATCTAGGGGTGTAAGATATCAGGAGACTCGCATTAAACTGAGCTATCCAAATATATGCTTTGTTCGATTGTATGTATCCCTATTTTAAGTTATGAAACGTGGTTTTTAAATGGGATGTATGTTTTACGGCTATTCTGGAATGTGTTTCATGTCCAGTGAAGGACTGGTTTATAGCTTTACGATCATCTCTGAGTGAGAAGCTAACAGACACCCGGGCACCAGCTAATTTGGGATTACAACCATGAACTGTATCCAACTGTGCCTGATGTCCTTGTTATTCCAGCGCGCGCACACACACACACACACACACACACACACACACACACATACACTGCATTCCTGAGGGAGGGGGATTGGATTGAGAGAGAATGATACAAGATGGGGAATCTTGAGCAAGATGGATGACCGCGTCCATATCTATGTGCACAATTGCTACAAGGACAACCTTGTCCTCTGCACTGGGCACCATGGCTGACATCTTGCATTACCTAATGTCTGATTGGAAAATGAGCTCTCTCGAGATATGAACACAGAGGGGCTCTATATAGCCCCCCATTGGGTCGTTGTGGCAGGCCATGCCATGAGGGACGTATCTGGATAGGGAGAGGTACATGTTGGTTAGGGAAAGGTAGGATTAGGACAGGGAAAGTTTCCTGTGGAGGAAGACCAGTTTAGAGAAATTTCCTGGTTTGAGAAAGGACCCCTTTATCCTCTTCCATCTGAGAGAACCTGTTTAGTTATCCTCGTGCATACTGCCACATGTAACACTGCCTACTTGAACTACCTTGTTACAGAGTTGTAAAAGTGCCTTATTGCCAATATGGATACTTTATCATTACTATTGCATTGTTGTTCTGTTTACTGTTCATTATATAATTTAGAAAATTCCTTAAGCTGCTGTCTCATCTGCCTCCAGTTCTATCAGGTAAACCCCTAAGGGGTTAATTCTTTGCATCGTGTTAAAAGGCGGTTTGATCCTGTCTTCCCTTATCCTCCTCTTCTTTTGCTGAGCCATAGGAGTCACTCTGCACATGCTCAGTTTGGTGTGTATTGCTAGAGAGTTTTTCTTTTCTTTGGGAGGGTGCATGTGATCAGAAGAGGGCCAATCAGCACTGTCCAGACAGAGGGTCAGGGGTTATGCAGCCTCATAGGACAGTCAGAGAAGAATAAAAACTCCTCCTACAAGCTTTAACCAGCGCTCAGCTGGATACCGATAGAAGTCACAAGACTGCTCTATACTGCTGATGAGAAAAGGTATTTTGCAGTTTATATTTACTAAAATAATTGCATTTCCATGTTTTGTGTACTGTAGGAGACCAGATATAGTGAATGCAGGGTCCTGGGTTTTGTAACATTTAACCCATGTTAAGTAGGTCGCAGATAGTCCTATAAAAATACATCAGGTCTTTGTACCACAAAAAATAGAGAGGGAGCTATACTTACAAGTTTCTATAATAGAAAGGATGGCAAGGCTTACGCAGCAATCCTTACGGAAAACAAATGTCACCCAGGTTGTCCCCCCAACCAGACAATTGAACCAGCAGAACACTCCAGTCAAGACTGTAAATTAAAGCAGAGCTCTATTCTCTGGTGAAAAAAATAAGTCAGCAGCTACAAAAAAAAGCTGCTAAAAGACCTAACTCATGGGCGCTGGTGTCTAAATTTATAAATATAATAGCTGAACCGTATTTGGGTCAATACCACAAGCTTCTCTAGGAACAACTAGGAGCAATGTGTGATGTCATATATACTGAAGAAGAGCACTATGGGTGAAGACCGCAAAAAGATAGTAGTCACATTGGGATATGTAATATGTAGACCCAGTGATATAATGAAACGCATTAAACTGTAAAGTTATATGAATGATTTAATGAAACTTGATAAGAATATATGATATATTGTCCAGTAATAGACTGACCAGCAGTACAATGTCTGTCCAACAATGAGGAGTTATATATAGCATAGGTGATAAGCAGATGAAGACTATGAGCTGTGCTGGTGGCAAAGGTACACTGTGACATACTGATCCGGTGGAGTTGTGATTGGGAAGGTGGGCAGCAATGTAGTAAATCACTCCATGTTGGTCTTGGCCTCTTTCAGTGATAAGCCGCGAGGGCCGCGTATCGGAAGTGACGATCAGGTGCACACCGGAAGCAACCTCATATGGACCGCAGATGAACCAAGAGGACCACAGTGAGATGGATACACTGGAAGTAGCCTCAATAGAACCACAGCAGGACCAGAGCAAGCGTCTTGAACCCCCAGTGGAATAGAGCCTGGTGGGAACAGCCTACAGGACACATAGACATTGCCATGACGACACGTTTCACACGACAGTGGTTTGTCAAGGACAAGTTGTTAAAGCAGAACTTCCCCTTTTGGGTGGAGCTCCGCCTTAAGTAGGGGGAAATTTGCCCAACAGCCAGTCAACTCAAGGGGGGGGGGGGGGGGGCAGGGGATGGAAGGGGATGAGGAATAGGAGGGAAGGAAAAGGGGGAAAAGAGTGGTAGAGAGAAGATTGAAAAAAAGTGTGTGGGGTGGAGGGAGCAATCACAAGGAAGAGTGTAGTTCAGGGAGCAAGAGCTGTGTGAGCTACAGCCTAACTCCCCTCTAATTACACATCATCAGGCACATCTGAGCCACATGCATCAATTCAGGCTGACCATATTTTGTCAAACTATTTCAGGACTGTTTCTAGTCTCATAGGTTATCTTATAAAATGGCAGAACCGTATGCGTTGCAGATTTCCAACTATGGGTGGAGCAGACTGTTTCCATCTCAGAACTAGTTCCCTGGGAGCATAATGAAGTGCAAAGTACAAACACAATTTCAAATATCTGGTACTTTCTCTATCTTTCATAACGCTCAGTAATACCAGTCATGGATCTAGCTGAAGAGACAAGTCAAAAAAGTCATTCAGAGCATCAACCAATCGATTCCCAGTAGGAGAGAATAGATGGGCATTGCACACACCATACGGAAGAAGGTGCCAGTAAAGGAGTGGCACCGAGTACAAAGAGGACTAACCAAAGGCTATATGGCTGCTAACCTCTGCGGGGTATAATAAACCCTACTGTATGTAAGAACTTCAACTGTAGAGATCATCTTGGTGACATAGGAGCCTACACAGTCTTCCCAGTCGTCATCACTAAGGTCAGGGATATCACTTTCCATTTGTCAAAGGTTTTGGTAGAATATGGGGTGCATGCCACCTAGTAGCTCCCGTTTTTCCAGTTGTAATAGAATTGGTTCTAGAAATTGTACCCTAACATTCTGTCTCTGTACGTATCTAAAGGTAGCTGTAGGTATCTAAAGTACAACCTGCCCTCCAGCTAGTCTCGGCCACAATTAGAATTGAAATCAGTGACAGCACACAGTGGCATCTTAGCCCCTTTCCTCGGCTCCTTTCTAATTATCATCAGATTGTTATTTAGAGATCTAAACAACTCCATTCGGAGATACAGAAAAGCGTTTGTTAATGCCATAGCTCCTTGACATGGAAAGGGATCTGTAACTATTAAGAAAAGATAGTCCTGATGATTGCAGGAGTGTACCTGAAGTTATAGAGGCAACAGTTGTTACTGATGGTGGAGAGTGTAGGGAAGAGGAGGAGGATGATTGGAACTTCCACTTTCAGGTGAAATTCCGATTTAAGTAAATTTTCACCTTTGATCTTTAAACAGTGATATTCCCATGCTCCAGTGCTCGGGCTGTGTTCCCTTTAGTTTTTTAATAGCTGCTCCCCACAGGGGTGCTAGATGCAGTGGGGAACAATGTAAATCAGCAGCTGAACTTGATCTGAACAAACCCATGGCTGTTCACTAACGAATGCCAAGGGTCTCTTTTTGGCACTTTCGTATACCAACTGTATTGATAAATATCCTGTTGAAATACATGCAGGTGATCTGACTTACTTGCCAAACGTTTTCTAATACTGTTCAGAAATTTTTCTGATCTAGGCACTCTAGAGTAGTACAGCTTGGTCTAGACCAGTGTTTTTCAACCTTTTTTCACCCTTTAAAATTCTACACAATCTTGAGGCACCCCATTCTAAAATGTAAAAAACTCATCATCTACTAGTTTTACATAACGCAGCAACATCCCCACACGTAGTACACCCAACATTAGAGGTGATTTATTCTTCCAACGCAAATATACCTTTGCACACTAGTACTGACTATTATTATTATACAGGATTTATATAGCGCCAACGGTTAAAGCTTACAATCGAGGAGGAAGGGTTGAATGATACAAATGGTAATAGCTGTGGGGTATGAGCTGATGGAGGAAGTAAATGGCGGTTTACTAGATAGAAGCAGGATAGGCTTCTAGAATTTCAATGCTTCTCCCTAAATTTCTCTCCCTCACTCAGCTTATGTGACCCCGGTGCTGATGGAGGGGCAGGAGAGGCAAAAAAAAGGATGCTGTGTAGGCACCAGACATCCTTCTTATCAACTGATGGCATCTATGGGTTAGGATGCCAGCAGCTAGGAGGTCATAGAAGTGCACATTGAAAACCCGTGGCTTTGTGTAACTAAAGGGCACGCTTGATCCACCTGCTGGCTTGTATACAATTTTTAGGCATATTGCCGAGGCACCCCTGAAGAAGCCTGAAAGCACCCCAAGGTGCCTGGGCACCTTTGTTCAAAAGGGCTTGTCACACCCCCAGCCTGGGGATTGGAAGTGCTCTGCACACTTGGGCACTCCACCTCCTATGAGTATATTCCCAGAGGTAGTCTAATGGCAGTGTACAATACAATACAGTGTACAGAGCTCTGCTTTGCTCAGAATGCCAACCTCTGTCTCCCAGTTTGAGAATTATGTTCTGTGAATTACAGGAAGGCTAAAATAAGGACAGAATTTGAGAGTCCATTTACATATTATTTCATTTCAAATATAACTGGATTTAACCTCCTTGGCGGTATTCCTGAGTGTAGCTCGGGGTAAAATTTCAGTACCAAGAGCGGTAACCCCGAGCTACACTCGGGCTTACCCTGCAGCGTTGCTCAGGGAGTCCCTGCAGCACTTACCTTGTCCTTCGCTCCCGCGATGTGTCCCCTGCAGCATCCCCGGCCATCTCCTCCGGCCGATGCCGGCATCCGGCTTCCGTGTTCCGGTTCCTGTGACGTCGGGACATACGGCGCCGGAACCGGCGGCAAATTTGAAATTTTTTAATGTCAATTTTTTAAAAATGATTATTATATAGTAAAACATTGCTGTTTCAATGCATTTCACATATATTTTGTCCCTACTGCTTTCTCCTGTGCCCTGCCTGCATTTTGACTGTTCTTTCTGCCTGGAAACTTAGAAAAGTCCATGGCGTCCAAAAAACGTCCCTTTACGTCAAAAGCGGTTTTAGACCAGCTAGAGAACAGCGATAGTAAATCAGAACCACTTGCAGAATTGAGTGATAATAATTTGTGGGGAAATTCGTCATCAGACACTGAAAACGATTTTGCGACTTTGCTCAGCGATGTGCGAATTTGCCTCTGTATTTCAAATTTCAGTGTTTTTGGTTTGATTATATTGTTGAATTAAATATATTATTATTATTTTTTATGATTATTTATTAAATTATAATTTATGATTTCGTGTTTCAAGTTTTATCATATCCGGAATGTTTACTAGACTCTTGTTCACACAGATTTCAGTGAGTTATTCCTAAAATTACAGCCTACAATAAAAAACTACATATTTCCATGCAAAAAAATGGTACCGCTTTCAGCACAAAAAAATCAGAAATAATCATACCGCCAGGGAGGTTAATGGTGTTTTTTATATTGGCCTATCAACATGTAAAAGCACATAACAGAACTCTACAAAATCCATATAATTTAGGTTTGAAAACACCTTCTATGCTTTTTTCTTCAAAATGTTTCTACATGCTGGGATAATGTAGGTTTATGTGAATGTAGCCTAAGCCGAGTAATATATTGGCTTCAGCCATAGTTAAATATGCATATGTTCAGTAACAGGGTTCATGCACATGGGCAGAAACAATGCAGCTGTTAGAGGTGTCTAGCGTTTTCTTTATGCCTGTGAAAGCAGCTGTAGGTTATCTAACACGCATATGCATATTCAGGGAGATTTAATAAAACTGGAGCATGCAAAATCTGGTGCAGCTCTGCATAGACACCAATCAGCTTCCAGGTTTTATTGTCAAAGCTTAATTGAACAAGATGATGTTTTAGTAAATCCACCCCATTGTGTCATTTACAGGTGTATTTAGAGCAGCATTCAGGGGCATAAAAAATGCCACAAACCTGAGAAGTTTTACGTGTAAACCCACCTAAACCTGCACTTGTGCTTGTACATTTTTTCTACTGCCTAGAATAAATGAAT